CGGCGGGTGGCCATTGATCGTTTGCGTCGATCTATTCCGATGACGTCAAATCCGAATCGTTCGATCCGATCGCGACGAGCTAAAATCTCCGAGACTTTCGCGGGTAGCCGTTCCGCTTCTTTATCAACGATACGCATTGTTCGATTGGCTACGCGTTACGTTGGTGCAAAAATAAAAGACGAATACGTCGTGACAAGATGCGAATGGAACAACAGAACTGTCGCAAGGAACATGTTCGAACATCAATTTGTACCGAATACTACCGCGGAGTAAATACGACTAACTGGTAAAACTCGCGAATCTACAAGCTACTACGAGCATAGATCGTACGTACGTTTTTCTCGTATATCGCGGTGGAAGAAATTTCTGCACGTGGTCGCCGATTCGTGGCCGTGGATCGTCGAGTAATAGGCGCGCGCGTGCGAAGTAGAAACTATGGAAAAAACGGTCGAGCCATTTTCCAGAACAAGGTGTAAACTACGCCGCAGATAGATCCTTGAGATCATAGGAAAGCCGTGAACACATATTTGGACGCTCCAGTGGCGTTCCTCGCGCGCTGCGACTAAATGTAGACAGAAGAGGTGCGAAGCGAACTCGAGTACTTGACGATGAGCATAAGGCCTGCTTTTTTCCCTGACGTTACAAGGAAAAGATCGGGCTTCCGTGCACACGAGCGGGTGCGCGTTTCTCTGATCCCGTTCCCGAGAGGAAGCGGAGAACGTTTAGCAGCTAGTAAAATCAACAGCAAACTCAAAGAACCTTTTCAAACGGAACGTTTCGCTGTTCGATTAGCGTTGCGGCACTAACGATCGACGCTGAAAGCCACGGGAGAAAAAGTGGACGAGAACCACGACCGATATCTTTTCAGCCGTCCCGTTCCCGATTTCGACGTTTGTTAAATCGAACGCGAAATAACGAGGTTATGGCCGACCGATAATTTGGTTCGTGCCCTCGCCAATACGGAACCATCGATTAATTATCGCTAGTTCTCGCACAGACGCTAGAGCAGTCTTTAATCCGGCTACTATCGATCGGTGCGAGCGTGCAATCGAGAAAGAACGGAGGCAAGGAAAGTCGAACGGATATCGACCGAGCTACGAAGCTCGTAGCGTAACAAGCGGTCCGCGCGGTTTATCGTCACCGATAAACTTTGCGAGGTGACGCGACGCGGCGCGGATATTTAGCGGGCGACACCCACGTAGGGTCGTCTCGCCGGGTCAGGACGAAATTTTCAACGGCGCTCGTAACGAAAGTACGCGTTCTACGACGTTAAATAAACGCATCCTCTCCTTGTCTCTCTCGCGGCCGCGCTCCGCTCGTTCCTCTCCTCCCTCTATCTGGCGGCCGTCTCTCTAATTTGTCCGTTCAAACAAAAAGCAATTTGTTACCCAGCGGACTGACTCTTGGTCCGGCGGTGCGCGTCCCGCGCGAGAGACGAGCACACGGAAAGAGAGAGGGATTATCGAGGAGCGAAGGAAGATGGGACGCGAGAGGAAGAGAGAGGGACAACGTGGACGCGCGAGCAACGGAGAGAGAGCGAGAGAGAAAGCAGAGGAGGTGCTGGCTGTGCTCGGTGGTGAAGGAGGTGGAGGAGGAGGTAGTGGCTGATTTAAACCTGTCTGGCGGCCCGCTGCGCGCTTAACAACTGAAAAACAAACATGGCGCCGAGAGAGCGCACCGGCCAGCGGGAGCCCACGTATGCCGCGCGTACCGAGACTATAAAGTGCTTCTGGTACCCCCGGAACCCGCTGTTCTTCCTCCAGCGTGACCATTTTGTCCCCACGGATGCTACGCGGACGCGGTCGCTGTTCCGTCCGGAACGAGAAAGCGTCGAGCAGATTTCGTACTTTTTCATCTTCTTTCCCTTGCTCGCACACGCTCTTTCGCCTTCGCAAGCCAGCGAAGAAACCCCAGCGCCTCGACTTCCCGTCACGCTCGCGTAGACCACTTTCGTGCCGATCGATGATCTCGCGTAAACCGTAGCGGCGGACCACCTCCGCTGGTGGAATCCTCTTAACGGAGGTCCCTCAACGACACCGGCCGAACGAGATTGCGTCGCGTTAATGGCAAAACTTACCCCTGGGGTGTTAGCTTCCGCGCCGAACGGATACTTTGTCCACTCGAGCTTCTCCTCTTGTGTCGTGTCCAAGAGAACAACTGCAATCAGAGAGGAAGAACGCTGGTTAAATGGCGAAGCTACAGTCGGGCTGCAAAGAAAGAATACGAAGGGATAGAAAGGTACGCGTTGCGCTTTTTCGTTCGTGCGCAACACCGATCGACCTGGGTCTGCCGTTAAACGGATCCGTGAGGAAGACCGCGCGGTGGAAAGGACGCAACGCTTCAAACCACGAAGAAACAGCGACGATCGCGATTGGTCGATCGATCAAGGTACGCGATTCCTCGGCTCGACCAGACACTCGTCGGTGTATCGAAACGCGCGCGAGAGCCCCGGCAAAGATTTTACCGTGAAAAGTCAACGGTTTCGAGGGGAACGAGAGAAACAACTCGCTCTCAAAATGGCGGATCCTCGAGACCGTGCTAAAACACCTTGCTTCTCGGCAGCTCTCGTTCTCGTCCTATACGAGAAGGGTGAGAAAGCCCCGACCGAAGGGAGGAGAGGATCGGGCGAGAGAGAAAAAGAGGGAGACGAAGGGTCGCGAGCGTATCGTTACACACGCGACACAGCCAGCAGGTTGTGCATCGTGTCCTGCGACACGTTTGTAGTGGTGGTCGTATCGACCGGCTCTCGGCTGCTGCTGCTACAACCCACCCTCTCGCGTTCCTCTCCCTCTTTCCCCTTTTCCTCTTTCGCTCCGCGTGACGCGCACCCGCGCGCCATCTCCCTCCCGGTCTATGTCTTTCACCCCGTTTTCGAATCTCGCCTTCCCCTCTATAGTTTTGCCTCCGTCCTTC